AATCAGAATCTCATAGGTGGAATTTTATATCTCCTCAGGTCAGGATTATATATTATGTATCTTTGTATCTTGCCTCCTCTTTTTGACCTCTGGAACCAAAACCGCAGTTTTTTGGGTATTGGATTGAGATCCCTTAATATAAGGATTAAAGAATAATTTGGAAACAGCGATAGTCTTGACAATGTAATGGGCTACCACGCAAAGGAGGAAAACTCCTTATCTTTGAAAAAGTTCAAGCTGTGGCTGGCTGACTTCTCAGGTCCCGTCGACTTTAATGGCTCATTTATGGTTCATTAGTCTCCTTGGCATGTCCACATTACATAAGGCACCTTCCTTTCATGGAGGAGAGGGGAAAGAGAACATGTCTGTGGGTTATGTGATAAATGGTTCAGCCTTCACTCTTACAAAGTTAAGTTTCCTACATGGGATCCTACTAGCTGTTATTGTCTAGCTTTACTAAAGAAGCAAATTCTCATTTCTACTTCCTTTTTTAGTTTTGAGAAGCTGATTTAGTCCCTTGTTAAAAAGTGTTATAAACATGATGTAGCACCATTATTGAGAAATGTATTAATACAGCATAAATGTAGTCTTGGATGAATTTATGTGACTTATTCCATGTTTGAGAAAGAAGGAACTATTTGATAGTTGTTCCGAGTAAAATTGTTCATGGGAAGGAAATTGCAAATGTACAGTTTTTCCCACACTCTTCCAAGCTCTTGGCATTGTCTGGGCAGCTAGTAATGGTGATTGCCCTGAAAATAAGATTCCTGTGGCACTTTCCAGGTATTCCATATCTTTAATTATTTCTGAAATCATTGCCATATGAAACATTTATGGAAAAGCTTACAATTAAATTAGGTATGTTGAAAATTTATGCTTACATTGGTGAAACATCAAAATTTTATGGTAGTGCTATTTTTTTTCTGGAGATAACAATTCTCTTTTCTCCAATTTTTCATGACTCATCCTTTCTCAACTCATCTTTCTTATCCTTTGAAACTTCCTCTTCAGAGAATCAAAAAAGCTTTCTTCATCATTTTTTTTCTCTAATTCACAAGAGTTCCACTTTTAAGTGGAAGAAATAATGTTAGTTTTTCCACAGGGATTGATTATAAATTCCTACTCTGCTGAATTACACTGGCCTCTAGTGGATACCTGTCACAATTATGTTTCATATCGATCTTGCCTTAACTCACGTACTGTAACAGTGTACCACATATTTTAATAATCTTCAGGAATCTGTATTAAGCAGCACAGTCAGAATTATCAGAAATTTGTAGGAGATTTCAGCATGCAGTCGATTAAACTTTATGTGGATAGTCCCATACTTGTCAATGTTCTTAAAAAATTTAGATTATTTGCTGGAATTTTGTAAGGTGGAATTGTGATGTTAATGCCACAGTATTTCTCATTTAACACACATTGTACCTAAGACATTTGTAACATCTTTTTTAGAAAACAACCAAAATATTCTTTTCAAATAGATATTAATGACATCGAATTATCTTATATCTATTAAACAAGAAATAGCTGACATGTTCCAGAAGGAACATCATCACAGTAGAGTTTTTCCTCATATAAAATTTAAGAAAAACATCCTCTTACTAAGTATAAATCCATGTCACTTTCTCAGACTTGGCAGTTTAATAAGTATATCTCAGTATGACAAAGGATGACAGTCTTCATTTTAATACACAGTCAGTAAATGGTAAAATTACATTCGTATTTATTTGGTGATCTGCCATAAATTCAAGTGTTATGCATTTTCTATTGAAACAACTCAGTCTCATCCTATGTTTAATAAAGCTGCTTAATATCATTACTGAAATCTACTCTTGATTACGAATGAGCCAACAATCAATCATGTATTTGATACATGGCACTGGCATTTATTTATAGGGCGATTCTGCCTTAGGGTCTCTCATGAGGTTGTAATAAAAAAGGAAACCAAGTTACTGTCATCTGAACTATGTTGATATAGTTGATTGATTTAGACAGGGGATCCCTTTCCAGCATGGCTCACTCACAAGCTATTGGCAGGAGTCCTCAGTTCCTTGCTATATACGAGCCTCCATTAGGCCCGTTCAGTGTCCTAAGAACATGGCTGTTGGATTTTCCCAGAGTGAGTGATCAAGGAGAGAGAGAAGGAGAGAGAAAGAAAGTGGGAGAGAGAGAGAGAGAAAGCAAAAAGGAAGAAGCCCCCAGTGCTTTTTATAACCTTATCTCGGAAGTCACTTACTTCTACCATATTCTCTTATATGAAGTGAGTCACTCAGTCTAGCCCACATTCAGGAGGAGGTAAAACTCTACACATTGAAGAGAAGATACTAAGGAATTTGTGGACAGATTTTTAAAGCCACCACCAAAGATAATCATCATGGGAGAATTTGGCCCTTCAAGTTGGATTGATATGCGCAGAAAAGATGTTTCAGGCTACTTGCAAGGACTTGAGTCAGGACGTTGTGGTGGGGTGACAGCTACATTGGGGACAGAGTACAGGGCAGGAAGTATGGCATAGTGGCTTTGGAGCCATGCTAGGGGTGTGCCACTTTCCAGATGGATGACCTTGGGGATGCCTCCTAACATCTCTGTGCTGAGTGGTGTCTGTAAAAGAAGGAAAACCATTACATTCCTCATGGGATCATAGTGAGATAAAAGTGAGGAACCCATCTAACACACTTAGAAAACCACTTGGCGTCTTAAAAAGTGATCAGTAAGCATTGGCCAAACTGCTTCTGGCATTAGCAGTATTGTTACCATATGTGGGATTCACACTGTTAACTCTTCATTCCGTTCTTCCTTCGCCTAAGAAGTCCTGCTGCTGGGATTGCCTCTTCAGACTTGCTAAGTTTTCTTCTGCCTTTACAGCCTTATTCTACATCCCTCCATTCACCCATTCAACAGTTGTCCCCCAGAATATTTGTTAAGATGCAGAGATTCTAAAATCATTTGGGAGGGAAGAAGAGTCAGAAAGCTGCAAAGAGTGAGCACAGCAGCAGGGAGGTTTGGCGAGGACCTTCCAGGCTGTTGACCTGCCTGGCTGCTGAGGCACTTTCAGTGGGTAAGCCCTGAGGACACATGCAGCTCTCACATACATTTTGTCTCATAAGCTCAGTGTTTTCCAAAATCCATATTTCTGGCTTTTGAAAATGCAAAGATCTTAGCACACTAGGCGTACATTCCCATGGCAACAATTGGATGGATTATGTAGCAACGGCCCCTTTAGGAAAGGCACATCTTCTCCAGTATGTCAAAGTCTTTTGTCTTAATCCAGGCCCTCCTGACTCATTTATTAACCTCTATGGCCCTTGAATGCCTTGAGTGTGCAATCCCTCTCTCCAGTTAAAGGCTGGCACTCTGCGGTTTGGTGACATGGTGTAATCTCCCCTAGGAAGGGCCTCCACCTTCAAGATACTCAATGCATCTGTAAAGACATCTGTGGAAATAACTGCAGCATGAATCTGAGCAGGAATTCCTGTTCACAGACCTGACTGGGTAGAGCTTATAGTCTTCCCAACTAGCTGATGAGAACTTTGGAGGGTAGCTAGATGGTGTGCAAGGAAACTTTACAGGCCACACTTGTGGCAGGAATGGACATTATGGGAGTTGTCACCCAGTCAGGACAGACAGGAAACTGGCGTTGACCGTAGTCAACTTGAGCAGTTTGACCAACTCAGTCTTCAGCAATCAGTCCTCAGCAAGTCAGAAGACTATTCCTAAGTTTCTAGAGTGAAAACTCGGACACGATTTTCAGGATGATTTTAAAAAGAAACAAAAAGGAGCCACTTCAAGGCATTTACAAAAATTCATCTGTGAATCCAAGGAAGCTTCTACTTTGGTAAGATATAAACAGGCTTCAAATAGATTCAAGCCTACCTTTTAGATTTAGTGCATAGGAATATACACATTCATTAAATAAATGCACCCTGAGGGATATGGAGCAGAAAATGTAGACTTCTGCAAACAAAGGGATTTTTCTTTTTCTCCAGGTGTTTCAGAGTATAAAGGGCAGTTGCAGGTATAGGGAAGAGAAGAAGAATCTCTAACATGTCAGAAAAACAAATACGTGTCTAAATTGGATGGATTCCAGTAGTATATGTGCATGTCTGGCCTTGCCAGGGGACGCTTACTTCTCAAAAAAGCTATATAGATCTTACGTAGTTTGAGAGCTTCTGTTTTCTTTCCTATATTTCTTCTTGGTTGTTAAGCCATCCTGTATGTATTCCCTTGGGGTACTTTTTATTGTTGACTATTAACAGCTCAATGACACCGTTTATTTACTTGATAAAGCAGAATAATGTGACTTTTGAGATAAATATGAGACCACTGCTTACAACTGGGTCATTGTAGTTTCATGGAAGTTAAACATCATCTTTTTCTAAGGCTGCAGACCTACATTTTTACTTACTAACCATCTTTTCAGGTTTGTCTTCATGTTACTTATATTCCTCCTTTAGACATACTGGGAAGCCACATGGGGATTGGGACTTATTGAACCTATCTTTCATTATGCTGAAAATAAGGTTTGCAAGTCACCTTCTAGATGGGCCATCCTTAGTTTCCGTTTGCAGCTAATAAACCAAATAAAGCCATTTTAGTGCTGAGAAGCTCGTTTTCACCTAACAAGCTATCATTTGTCATTTATAATGGACAGGACCCAAGATAATAAAGCATTTGGCTTGTTTTCCTTTTTCAGCTTTTACCTTGGGTGTAGATCCAGGCAGTTAATGAGCAATAATTTCAGATTCTTAGGTGTTAGCCATCTCCCAAAAAGAACCAGAGAAGGAAGGTATTTGATAATAGTCATTAAAATGGCTTGAGCTGAGAGTATTCACAGTGTTTTTTAACTTTTATTTCATTGTTTAACCACAGATATGTTGTGAAGCAAAGAAAACTAAACAATTAACCTTCTAGTTCCAGAAGGTTCAGATGAATGGACTTTCTCAAATTCCAGCTGGGTTGATCAAAATCGAGTGTTGTTATCAGTCTCACTAGGAAATGATGACTCATTCAACTCATGGTATATGGTGGAGAATTGATTTACAGAGAGATGGATAGTGAAGGTGGGGGAAGGGAATACAGGAACCATGAGAGAAAGCTCAGAGACTAAGAACTAGTGGCCTGGGACCTCTTAGGTCTCTAAACCAAAATGAAGAGAGAAGGGAGTAGTTATTTAACTAGAATAAAAAGTCTATAATGGAAGGCCTTCTTGAGATGATCAGGGACCTTTGGTGGAAGGACACACCCACTGAAGACAACCTCACTGGGAGGTACCAGGAGGAATGTAAACACCCTGAGTCTCCCCTCTTCCAGCAGAGGCTTCCCAGATGCCAGTCTGAGAAAGGAGCCCATTCATGTAGTCCCTAGAGTCAGCCTTCCAGGACCAAGAGGAGCAAGGTAGAAAAAGGTGGGATGGATCAGGAGGGGTTCAGGGATTTATAACATAGCTAGGTCCCAAATGACTTTTTTTAGGGTGCAAGAGAGACCACAAGGGGGGATGAGGGGGCAGAAAGAGAGAGAGAGAGAGAGAGAGAGAGAAAGAGACTCTCAAGCAGGCTCCACACCCAGCATGGGTCCCAATGTGGGGCTTGATCCCACGATCCTGGGATCATGACCTAATCCGAAATCAAAAATGAGATATGAGGCTCTGGGTGACTCAGTCCATTAGGCATCCGACTTCAGCCTAGGTCATGATGTCACTGATTCTCTGTTTGACTCTCAAACAGAGATTGTTCTCAAGTTTGAGTCCCACATCGGGCTCTGTGGTGAGGGTTCAGTGCCTGGAGCTTGTTTCATATTCTGTTTCTCCCTCTCTCTGCCCATCCCCTACTTGCACTCTGTCTCTATCATTCAAAAATAAACAAACATTAAAAAATTAAAAAAAAAAAAAAAGAGAGAGAGAAGCTCAACCTTCTGAGCCAACCAAGTGCCCCTAAATGATAGTTGCTTGAGCCTGTGCCTCAAGTAATAGAATATTCAGGAATCCTTTTGTAAAGAAAGTCTAAAAACTTGAAAACTTCACTGAGGTCTATAAAAGGTTAAACTATGGGTGGGAGGGGGTGTGGCCAACCAATGATTTGGACCACCTTGAGGTAAAAACTTTTAAATTTCATTCCAGCAGGCTATGGGAAATAATCTGCTCCAGACATGGTATTCTGACATTTCCTGAACTGCTAAATAAATAGATCAGACTTCTACACAATAGATTACAGCAAGGTCAGACAGTGATATCAGTAATTTTAGAATATTGTCTATAGCTCAGGGTGTTTTTTGGTGACAGTGTCATCGGATGCTGTTAGTAGGTGAAAAATGAATTTTGTAGATTCCTCTCCTCCTTCTATTAAATATTACAGGGGACCATTTCTGCCTGGCAATTTAGAGGAGGCCTATGTCTAGTGGGCTGTTGATTTTTGTAATTACAGATGTTTTAACTGGTAACTTTCTTTGAAGGCTTTTTGTTTCATTTTGTTTTGCTTAATGTACAGGAATTTAAACTTTTGATGCTAAGGCATAGCATCTTCAATGACTATTTTGGTCTCTAAGATTAGGGGTGTGAAGTTTGGAGGTGGGGTCATTTTACTGAAATGGACAAAGGGTGGGATTTTAGGAAATAAAACTGGAAGCATCATGTTACAGAGAAAATTTTGGGCAGTATACTGATTTTCACTAATATATGGGAAAGATCTGTTATGAGAAGAAACATACACATGTGTTTTTAAAATTATTTTAATTAAATTTTTAATATAAATTTTAGGCATAATAAATAGATTGTAACCTATTAAGATCTTAGTTGAAGGTTATATTTTGACTTTTCTGACTTATATACTTATGCATTGGGGGTTTGATACAAATTTTTGTCAATCCTTTGTTTCTCTAGAAAACTAAATAATCTAATATATGTATTTGAACAGATGTATGAAGCATCACAGAATCATTACATGCCACCTTCATCTTACACTAGACTTGTTATTTACAGAAGCAGTGGGTTTTGCTATTAACTAAATTTATCTTCATTTGTCTATGGTGTGAAGTATGAATCTGTGTGGTCCTAAGTTTTGGCTCTGTCTGCTTTGCTAATTTTTTTTTAATTGATGTCGGTCATGAATATAGGCAACCAAATCGCCCGTAGAAGCATTTTTCCACCTTTCCTATAGTAACAGTTACCCTGTGGAGACTATTATGTTGCAACAATAGATAGAAATCCTGCTTATAGATTAATAAATGGGTCTTTCGCCAAGTTGCCAATTTTATGGGTATTTTCTATATTCACTCTCTAACAAATGATGATGGAGTATACATATTCACATTCATCAAGATGACATAAATCTGAGATGATTGGACAAAATACTACTCAGAAAGAATGTGCCAATAAATATTCTTAGTCTGTGCCAATGTAATTCTCATTACAAATAATATATAGATATTGCCTTATGAGCAGTGAGTATCCTGCCTATAAAGCAATTATCTGTTAAGCTGGGAAAGCAGTTTTGTAACCAAAATATTTCTTAACAGTCAATTCTGATAGCTGAGTTCTTAAGTGAGAATTGTATGCCTCATTTTTTTTGTAAGCTTTTGATGTATCCTGGTTAATTGGTAAGACCAAAATCTCCTTGTTCGTTTTTATTCTTTTCTTTTAGTTTGAAATGGCTATGTGGCCAAATTATACATCATAAAAGTTTTTGCAAGAGCTATTTTAAGCACATGACACTCAAAATAAGAACCTTGCATTTGCCATTCTGGATGTCCAAGTGGTTTTTGTAATCCTGACAATGGTTCTGAGTCTCAGTTCAAAAGGATATGGGAAATGTCTCTGAAAAGGATAAAAAAACATGTCTGTGCTGTTCCCTCAAATATCAGTGTTCTTCAGTCATTTTAACTTCTTGTCTCCTGTGCCTGCTCATAATGCCAACCGATATTTTCATCTTTAGATTTTTTTTCCTTTTCCTGTTTCTTGTTAATAGCTGACTTAACCCCAGCTATAGTGTTTGCTGGCAAGTGGGAAAACATGTGTATCCTATTATTGTAGTGGCCTTGGCATTCATGCCTGGTGTTCTTGAGGACAAAAAGCTAGTTTTGCAGATACTTACCACTTAGAAATACAATGCAAATAGGGACATGATTGGTGCCCTTAAGGAGAAAGACCCTAGGTCCCTGTGCCATCCAGACACTCAGTACACTAGCTCCTGAATTTATTCGATCTAATTTCCAACCCTTTGACTCTTGTAGAAAATGAGTAAAATAGGATGTTATAAGTTAGAATACAGATCATCCACTAACGTTCTCCTAAGTTAGAATCCATACTATTTGACCAGATGACTTTTTTTCATAAAGCATTATATAGGCCTAGAGCTTCTCAGGATGCACATTAGAAAGCTTTCGCTTTCTAACAGGCACTCATCTGAAGAGGAAGTGTAGTATAATAATTTCTATGGTGCAGTATTCATAGTATTTTTAACCTATTAAAATAACCAGTATGCATAATGGAAAGTGCCTTTGTCCTGTTGGAACTTTATACCCATTTGTTTTTTGGGTTTTTTTTTTTCTTTTTCTTTTTTTGGTTTTCATTTACTTAAACATACATGATTAATGAGATTGTAGTGATTACGCTGCATGTGAATTAGGTTTCCTCACTCTCTAATATTTTCTTTGTAAAGGAAGGGCAGTGTTGACAGACTTAATCTTTCAGTTCTAATTATCAAAATTTGTGTTATGTGATTCCCAAGTTAGGGAGACGAATCTATAATGCACTTGATTTGGCTCTTTCCTCCACTGCCATGGCAGGCATTGCTTATAGGTCACAGATCCCTCCCCCTGAACCAGGTGATGGCCCTAAACTCATTCTCAACACAGTACTCCAAATTACCCTGCAGAGTTATTGCACCTTGCACTGACCATTCCATCACCTAATACTTAAAAAATCTGTATCAACAGTGGTGTCTCAAATGACATATACTCCATTAGAATTTTACTGATCATAATTAGAAATAATTAATATTTCCATATTCTAGTAATAGTAACAGTGGAAAAGGGATAATTTTCAGCATGACAGATATGAGCAAGAGGACTTATCATTCTGCAGAGAGGGGTTTCATAGGGACCACTGTTTTCTTTCAGGACAGACTCTAGATTTTGAGGGCCAGGATCCACTCTTATACCATCATCATCACTCTGCAATCCCATCTAAGGATTACAGACAACAGGGTCTGGACAACTCTTTTATCAGTGAACAGGAGAACATAGGATTGTAAAGAAATGAAACTCATTGGTCCACAAAACCGTAAAAGATATCTCTGATCTATTTTAATAGGGGATTGAGATTTGAAAGCAAAGAAATACAGGGGCACCAGAATATAGGACTCAGACATGTGCCCTTAATGTTTAGAATAGAGCCAAAGTAGAGTTGGGGCTTTGGACTAATCGTGGAAGTCACTGGCTATAGAGAGTCATCTAGGAGGGGTAGAGAGGCCATGGACTTTTTTTTTTTTAATGTTTTATTTATTTCTGAGAGAGAGGGGGAGAGAGAGAGAGAGAGAGAGGGGCAACATGAGCAAGGGAGGGTCAGAGAGAGAGGGAGACACAGAATCCAAAGCAGGCTCCGGGCTCTGAGGTACCTGTCAGCACAGAGCCTGACACAGGGCTCGAACCCATGAACCGTGAGATCATGACCTGAGCCGAAGTCAGATGCCTAACCAGCTGAGCCACCCAGGTGCCTCAATGGACTTTGAAGTAAGACTGGCTTGGTCCAAATCATGACTCCATTGCTTCCTAGCTCTGTGCCCTTGAACAAGTTATTTTAAGCTCTTTGAGCCTCAGCTTACTTACTGGGGAAGTTGTAGTACCTAATTACCAGCACCTAGGAAAATCAACATGCAATACATATTAATCCTCCATACCATTTTACTTATTTTTGTGAGGAGAAGATTGCAGGATATAACTAGGGAAGGAATTCAGGAAGAAGAGAATAAATCAAGGACAAATTAGACACATTTCCCTCCGTTTATTCTAGCTGTTCTCAGAGGT